AATCAGTTTAATAAAGTGAAGACTAGCAAAAATGACAAAATACCAATCAAAACTTTGGAATCAATTCCATAAAAGAAATATTTGCATCTATGTCATTCTTAGACCTCAAAATCACCCAACTCTCCCATTCTCTTCAATTATACCATCTCGATTTTTCATAAAACCATTTTTTTTTGCTTCAATTACAATCAATTCAATTAACAACTCGCCTTCCACGGATAATATGCAAATCAAATCTTTTAAACTATCAGAACTTTGACAATGCAAAAATAGAAAATTCCTAGCTAGACATTTCATCAAACGGAAAAGAAGTATCCTACAAACCGCATGCTGAACTTGAATTTTCAGAGACAGCGCACCGATTACAGCCTGAAGATTAGGCCTTCTTAGGAGATTTAGTTGCCTTGGTAGGGGATTTCGCATGCTCCTTTCCGGCCTTCTCAAATTTCTTAGGCAGAAGTACCGGATTGATGTTCGGTAGAACTCCTCCATAAGCAATTGTCACTTCGGCTAGAAGTTTTCCGAGCTCCTCATCATTCCTCACGGCGAGTAGCACATGCCTTGGTATTTTTTCTTGTTATCTCTGGCTGTGTTGCCAGCCAATTCCAAAACCTGAACACAATTTCAATGAATTCACATTTTTTCTTCAAGATTATAAATTCATCTATATTTTGCGTGTTTACGATGATGTTTTGATTTATATTACTCTTGTAATTGAGATTAGAGAGATTAGGACTTATGTAATGAATCTAAAGTTGACCCTAAATCCAAGTACTTAATCTAATTTCTCNATTAGGGCTTATGTAATGAATATAAAGTTGACCCTAAATCCAAGTACTTAATCTAATTTCTCCAAAAGTAATCATGCACACAACAGAGAAAGATTGGCTCATGCAATTCAAGAAAACCAACTCAAATCAAACGCAAATTTTAATAGTACAATTCAATTATCGTTCGTCTCTGATTAATTAGTACTGATTAACTTACCATAAAGCTAAAAATTCAACAAAACTCACAAAGTGCATAATTATTCAACAAAAAAATCACATTTACAACAATAATACATATGGAATTTGAAATAAGTGCACGTCCAGTGATGAAAAGGGTTTTTATACCTCAGCAGTAAGGTATTCAAGGACAGTTTCCATATAAACCGGAACTCCGGTACCAACACACTGAGAATAGCGACCTTTCTTCAAGTACCGGCCGATCCTGCTGACCGAAAACTATAGACCTATCTTGACGGAGCGAGAAACCGGCTCCCTTCTTCAGTTTACCACCCTGTTGAGGAGTAGGTTTGTGCTCAAATGAAGATTGGATTTTAGGTTTAAGACGTATTAATTACGGGTAGAATTGTTTAATTAACTTTAAAAGGATATTATTCAATTCAATTAGTTTAAGAGGGCATTGAGCCTAATTTTCCCTATTTATTTTCCATGGTTGCAATTGGACTTTGTTTTTAAGCATGCTAGACATTATTTCCACTTCTAAATTTGTTTTCTTTGGTTTGATTAATTACCACATGACTTTAGTTGGGCCTGCTGTTCCTATTTTCTCTATCATTAATTCCTACCATTCATGTCAAAACGAGGTATCCACTCCAAGGATAATTTCTACTGGCAATGTTTATTTTAATGCACTCGAATCTCAAGGACTTTCATTCTTGGTTTGGCATCAAGTGCGTATGAATTTGTGCTTTCTATGTGGATACCTATACTTTGAAGATTTAATCACATGGTAGGATTTCAGAGTATGGATTTCTTATATGACACTGGTCATCTTTGGAAACAATTTTATTCCGAAAAATCTACGTACATTCAAAATTGTTGATTATGACTTTTTGGGATA